AAATATATAAAAGGTTAACTTTGTATCTATCTATCACAGAGAGGAAAAATGAGGCAAGTGTTTAGTATTTATCTTACCTTGGCTAACATGTCAAAATCAAAGTAACGATTCTTTGAGCCGAGACTGCCAACGAGGATAGATGGATGAGGCTCCAATGGGACGTTCTGTTGTGAGAAGAAGAATGTTAGAGCTATATACTTTAGTCGAGTGACGAAGGAAGAGCAAATTTAGCCAACTGGCAAAAACTCACCTTCTCCCTTACAAATCTAGGCAAAGCAATTGATGCATTGTTGCACACAGCAGTTTCTGTTGGACTACTGTATTCAATAACTTCACCGCATAAACTGGAGGACGTTATGGTACCTACATTTTGCTGATTGCTTTTCCTGTTGCATGTATCCTATAAGGATCAACAGTAAGAACCAGTGGTTACATTTAGCTATAGAGAGTCATGAATGTACTAACTTACCTTGAAAAGCATGTATGGCATTCCTCCTGTTTCTAGCTGAGATATCAAGATTTCAAGCCAAAGATCTTGCGCCTCAACAACCTTCTTGGCCTTTCCCTAGAGACCATGTAACAAACATAACTTGTATTCAGACAACAAGAACTCTTTTTCTTTTTATCACAGAGAAAATAAATTCAAGTTACATAAGAAGCAGGGTATATACATGGATGAAATATGGGATTCACCTCTCTTTCATACTTCATGTACAGACTTTCAAATTCCTTCCCCCAGCAATCTGCCAAACCCGGAGCTTCATTAGGACAAAACAGTGACCACTCCCCATCACTCTTGACTCTCTGCATGAAAAGATCTGGAACCCAAAGAGCATAAGACAAGTCTCTAGCTCTGTGCTCCTCCTGCATTGGAAAATCGTATTTTGACATTTGTAGCAGACTAATTTGGAAATTACAACTGAAGAGAACATGGTGAATTATCTTGGTATGACTCTGCGGTACCTTTCCGTCGTTCTTCCCGAGCTCTAGATAGTCATAGATGTCAGCATGCCATGGCTCCAGGTATACAGCAAAGGCTCCTTCACCAAATTACAAAATACACATGAGATGGACTGGAGATCATATTCTACACAAATGATACCGCTAATAGTAGCAAAGCTGAGATGTACCACTCGGCTTGCCTCCTCCTTGATCAACATAACGAGCGGTATCGTTGAATACACGCAGCATTGGAGCAATACCATTAGACATTGCATTTGTGCCACTGATGTTGCTTCCAGTTGCAGGGGCATTATGAACTGAGACACCAATACTGCCACCAGAGTTGCTTATAACAGCACACTCTTTCAGTGTTTCGTATATGCCCTCGACGCTATCCTCTTTCATGCAGGTAAGAAAGCAGCTACTTAACTACAAATTCAATTATTTTCAATACCGGATCACCCAAATGCGCTTAAGATCAATACATAAATTAACAATACTTACTTGAGGTCTTGGAGTTCCTGCGTTACAGAGAGTAGGAGATGCGTGAGTGAACCATCTCTGAGACATCAAATGGTAAGTTTCGATTGCAGATTCGATATCGTCCGTGTGGATTCCAAGAGCAACCCTCATAAGCATGTGTTGAGGCCTTTCAACAACTTTCCCTTGGATTTTCATGAGGTACAATCTCTCAATCGTTTTAAATCCAAAGTAATCATACTCAAAATCCCGGTCATAAACGATTTCGCTGTCCAGGCGAGCAGCGTTCTGATATGGAAAGCACAATTCAGTGATACATCCCTAGGAAGAAACCATCTAAAGAAAACAGAGCTTCTAAAATATTATTATTACCTTCATAACTTTCAAAAACACATCATCAGCTATTAAAGAAGCATGCACTCCAGATCTCTCATCGACATGATTGAACATGTCATAAACCCTGAAAACACCGCTCAATCCGTGACCAAAGTAAATTCATATATACTCAAACCCAAACAACAGTAAAATTCCACTCACGTCTCAGAAAATGATTTCTTAGTGTTCTTGTGAAGATTTGAGACAGCAATCCGAGCCGCAAGCTGAAAATTTAAAGACAACAAAACGAAAACAGAGAGATTATTTCTACAAAATCATTAAAAGGCATAATCAAACGTGAACACTCACTGTGTCGTAATCAGGATGGTTACAAGACATGGAAGCAGCAGTGTCAGCAGCTAACTCGTCGAGTTGACTCGTGGTGATGCCATTACAGACACCGGCACAGACTTTCCGAGCAATGTCGCAATTGTCACTGCTAAGCCCATAGCTAAGCTTCTTGAGCCGAGCAGCGATCGTATCCAAGTTAACGGTTTCTTTGCTTCCCTTCACCACGTACATATTTCTTCCTTAACACTTGTCTCAACGTAATTATATCGATCGTATCCAAGTTAAGCGTTTTATATATGTTCGGGTTTCAAATCTCTAGGGTTTGTTGTGATTTTCTTATATATTTGATTATCCTCTCACCGAAAAAATTATAGATAACCTAATATCATCATCATCATATCTTATATAATATTTTAAAGTTATTCAAAACCAAAGCTATGAGAGGTTGCCATGTGGCAACTATACTTTTGACATATATCCCATTTTTTAAAAATCAAAATAAATTTAAGTTTATTTATATTTAATAGTTTTAGTGGTAGTAATTAATTAAATATTTAATAACCATGTATATATAAAATTAATGTCAATTTATATTTTTAGCATAATCTACAAACATTACTTTACATTTGTATTAACTCACAATATACAAGTCACTTAAGTTAATATTAATTTCTATTCAATTTTATTAATCAACCATTTTTTTTCTTTTATACAGTATATAGATGATTATTGATTCATATATAAAATAGAATTGATGATTAAGAAAATTTTTATACACTCATCATGGGCTACTGTATCTTATATAATATTTTAAGATTCTTCAAAACCAAAGTTATAAGAGGTTGTCATGTGACAACTATACTTTTGACATATATCTCACTTTTTAAAAATCAAAATAAATTCAAGTTTATTTATATTTAATGGTNTTAGTGGTAATAATTAATTAAATATTTAATGACCATGTATATATATAAAATTAATGTCAATTTATATTTTTAGCATAATCTACAAACTTTACTTTATATTTGTATTAACTCACAATATACAAATCACTTAAGTTAATATTAATTTCTATTCAATTTTATTAATCAATCGTCTTTTTCTTTTATACAGTATATAGAAGATTATTGATTCATATATAAAATAGAATCGATGATTAAGAAAATTGTTTTACACTCATCATGGGCTACTATATCCCAACATACTTTTTGTCGATTAAATACACATATTTTGTAACTAACTGAAGTACATACAAAAATAAATATAATCTTTATATATAAAATTACAAGAGACAAATATATAGAATTAAAAAATGTTAAAAAGTAGTTATACTATACAAAAAGAATGAATAATAAATAATTATTTCATTATAAAAAAATATATGGTTATTTAAAAAATATCTAACAAAGTTTTAAACAAACATATTTATTTTCAAATAGTAACTATCCAAATCAAAATGGTTGTTTTCATATTCAGACAATTGAAATAAGAGAAACAACTAATTATATTTCAAGTAAATTATTATTTTGTATTTACAAAGAATTGATTGGTTTTGTCAAACATAAATAATATTTTATTAGGTAATCAAATTTTTTGTCTCTAAATCTAATAAATTTTTAAAACCAAAACTCGCGCATCGCGCGAGTCATATTCTAGTATATATAATAGTTGAATTTCCGGATTGACACCTAAGCATCCATCTTTTTAACACATCATTTTCACACAAAAAAACTCTTCTATTTAATACCTAATCTTGGTTTTACAAAATCTCTTAAATTTTCTACTCCATTGGATTCCTCCAAATCTCTATAAACAATAAATGTTTCTACACATATCAAGAAAACGTCACTATCATTCTATCAAATTGTTGACTACAAAATGTGAATATTGCAATCGAGGAAACTTCTACCTTTTGGCCTTCCATTTCTATATAAGGCCCATCGATCAAAATGTGAAGAGCATTTTTATAACAAAAATCATAGTGTTATGAATAATTTGGTTGAATTTCTCTTTCTCTCTATTACGTCTTCATCTCACGTAAGTTTTCTTAGTATAACGAGATTTTAGCTTTATTTTTCGTTCTAGACATCGTTTATAAATTTAGATATTTTTTCACAAAATTCATATGATTATTCATGCATTGGTTTCAAGTTTCATGTCTATCACATTTGTAATAGAAAGTGTACATTTCTAAATCTACACAGAAGACTTATGTCAGATAATTAACGTTTAGAATGTTTACTAGATTTTTTTTCACAATCATAGTTGAGTTCTCAGATTAGTGTTTCTCTACGATTATTGAAGACAAAGGACATAGAAAAAAATATGTGATCAAAGGTAAGAGACGAAAGTGCTCTAAACATAGGCTGGATGCTCAAGTATAAGGTGAAGATGGAGTTGTTGGTGTATACGAAGTTACTAATGAGGCGAAAAAATAATGATATGGACATTTTGTTTTAATGTGAATTTTTCTTAGTTATAGTCAATTTAATTATCAAATAGTTGGCTATAAATAGTGGTTATATTTTTCCCTACTGATGATGTTTTTTACAATTAGTTATCCAATATTAGAAACACCAGATGTAACCGATGATTATTCCTTTCATTAACAAACAGATATTTTAAAACGGTAAATTTTTAATAACCTAACAAGTTTTAAGAAA